GCTCGAAGGGACTTTGAAGTGAATATTGGACCCAGGCCAGCTTCTCACCACTTGACCATCTGCTAGGAGCTCCAAACCGCCACCGCTTTATCACTTCCACCTGTCCTCTAATGGGAAATGGCAAGAAACTGACCCAAACCCAGGGCTTTCCCTCTTTTTCTTAAGGACGAATGCAGACCCTTTGCAGGCAGGGCTCCCAGGTGTAGCCCGTAAAGGGCTCCCTTCACCAAAGTCCACATGTCCTGCTTATTTCTGAGAGAGCCAGCTTGCCAGGAGATGGCATCGGTCACTTCATTCTCTACATGATCCCATTCTCATTCCTAGTGAGGAACTCTGGCCATCCATGGATCCATATTCACCCTTTTGCTCTATTTTCACACTCAGTCCTCTCTGAGGTCCATTCCATGTAGTCTCTCAGAGGAATATCATTGGTGTTCAGCTGGACACCCTCGTTTCACCCGTGTGACTGTGTGATAGGTTTGGCCACAGGACCCTGGTAAGTTGATGTCATAACCATGAAGGCATTCAGAGGCCTAGGGCATTGGAAGGGCCCAGGTTAGGTCATTTTCATGCAGGCTGGGCCAGAGGACTGGGAAGGGAGCAAGACCCCTTTCTTTGCTGAGAGGACATGAAGTGACACAGCCCCTTTCTAAATTGTTCCCATTCCCATTGGATATTTGGAACTTTGGCCCTCCTTATGGACACTCCATTCCCATGGCTCTTTATCTATTTCCCTGTTTAGACTTAGGACCCATAGAGCTGTCACTCACTCAACCCGTGCCCAGGGATAGATTTTCACACCAGCCCGTGCATGTTGGAGGTGCCACCAAGCAAGGCAGCGCAACCACTACTAATGACAACACTGTACTTCGTCTTGGATTGACCTTCCATCTGGGACACAGATAGGACCACGGGTATCGTTACTGGGAGCATGTCACCACCCAGTGAGATTTCTGGGTTAGGTGCAAAGACATGAACAGCCCTGTGCATCAAGGCAGTGCCATAGTAGCCTCAGTGGCCCAGCAAAACCACCGGTGGTCATGGTGTGGCAACCATGGCATTGGGCTGTGCAGTGCTGTCCTCCTTCAGCATAGTCAACGGTAGCAAAAGTGATAGTTCTGGTGGGCAGGACTAGGCCCAACACAGCTCCAAGGACCATGGCAGAAGGCAGGGACTGCCACATAGGGTGGAATCCACTAGAGTCGCTCCTGGTGTTTGCCTCCTTACCAGTTCACTTCTTCCAGCCCACGTTTGGAAGATTAAAGTGCTCTCACATGGGTGCCCTCATATGAAATGGATAAGCATGTTATGATGTGGTGAAGAAAGCCAGGGATAACCTATATGGAGGGTGATCTGAGTCAAGACGCTGGCCAGTGTGCAATATGCCTGGAAGAAATGCAGAGGGTGGTACTAGAGCAGGCTTGCCTTGTCTACCCATATATCACTGGGGTTGCATGGGTTTGAAATAAGTACTTCTTGCCCTGAGCTTCATTCAAATAATGTAACCAAATCCCATTTTATAGGTATTCTTGTCTTTTCAAGATGCTTCAACCCCGAGAGGCTCTGAGGATCTTCCTAGCCAAATAAATCCAAAACCACAGGTCTGCTGGGCCAAAAATCCGAGTTCTGTGAGACTCATGCAAAGATGAACCATCACCCAGGGAAAAGGATGCTGCTGAAGAGCCAGGGGCCCTTAGGCCAAACATCTACCACAGTCACAATGACTGGACCAGAATCCCAGGTCAGGGCCCAGGATATGACACTAAGAATTAAAATAGTGCAAAGAGGTGACAATGGATAGAGGGAGGGCCAGAGTTCTGTATCAGGGATAATGAAGTGATGTGACTGACACCATCTTCCCCAGCTTGCTGACTGACTCAGGATGGAGAAACACCTGTGGGCTTTGGCAAATGGTGGCATCCACAAGTTTCACCTGCAGGCGTCATCAGCAAGAAGCCTGCCCAGATTCTTCCTTCAGGATCAGAGGGAAGATTGGCTCTGGGTATGTGTCCTGCCCTTGCCATCCGTGCATAGTGGTAGCAGTGATACAGCTGTAGGAGGGCTGTGCTGTCCAGTGATGGAAGTGTTTGGAAGCATGTCTTGTTGCAGGATTCCATACAAAGGTGCTTTATGTGCTGAGCAGATCCTGGACCATCCTGCCCACATGAAAAGCTGCTGTTCTTCAAAATGAAGGGATCTCTATTAGTGAGGGGAGGGAGGCCAACTGGATACCCATGCTCATGCATACACTATCCAGCTAAGCAACACCATGTGCTCAGGGAGAGAAGGGCCAGGTTTCCTCTGGGATAATGGACCCATATACCTTCAATTTCCTCAGGAACTCACTGAGAAAGTGGCACCATTCGTACAGCCATGGTTCCCGGAACATGAACGGAGACCTAGCTAGGAAAGCAGCCTTGGGATGTGCATGAGTACAACAGTGCCAAGTTCTACATCTCCAAAGGGCTGGCATCCACCGACGAAAAAGATATCTTTCTTCATCAGCTCTGGATCCAGACAGGAGGCCAACTTGATTGCTAAAGCTTCTGGCTTAGCCTACCCACAAGCATGTTCCACTGGGCATCTCCAGATTCTCTAGGCCTGATGGTGTCCACAAATTCTGAAACCCAACCACAGGATGCCTGTGGCCAAACCTATTGCACACTCACCAGCATTGCACCAGACTCCCAGCATAAAAGGAAAGTACATGACTCTGAGACAATGGCTCTGAAACAATTCCAGGGAAACTCTTGTTTCCAAAGAAAGGAAATTGTTTACTATACTATAGAAGACTACTAAACAACAAAAGTTCAGGGACATGAGAATCAATTGTCCTCTGGGACATCAGACACTCAGAACCCTCCACTAGCTCTGGAACTGACTGGAAATTCACTTACAATCCTTGTAACTCAGTTGTGTTACAAGGGAGAGTCCCTTGGTCCCAGTGTGTGAAGTGAGACCAAATTAGAAAATCAGCAATGGACAGGGATGACTACAAGGTGAGTCAAAGCTATCCATTCAAATGGGCACGAGGGAAATTGAGGAAAGAGACCTCTACTTTTCCTTCCTTTTGTCCCACAAAGGGGGCGGGATCCACTACTAACCTCTGGCTTACCCTACCCACAAGCATTCTCCCTAGGCGCCTTCACACACCTTAGGTTTGGGGAAGGCCATATCATTCTGAAACCAAATTAAGAAGGACCCAATGGAATACCTCTGTTACCATCACAAGGACACCATGAACCCCACAAACTGAAAGAAGAGGATATTACTCTAAGACTCTGTTTGGAATAGTCTCCATGCAAACCCTCTTTCATCAAAGGGCTAAGGGGTGACAGTGGAGACACTGCCAGAGTTGTTCATCACACATGAGATTTGGAGAATGTTGAGAATGAAGTACCCAGCATAGTCTCCTGTCAACTGGGTTGTATCCGGAATAAGAAAGACCTGTGGGTTTAGCCATGGGAGCCCCCTGAACTACTACACCTGAGATACCTGTCAGCAAGAAGTCTGCATTCCTGCTTTGGGATCCAGTGATTTCTGGATTGTTGTATCACTGCCACGTTTCCCATCATTTGAGGGAGGTAGCATGCTTGAGCTGTAGCTATAGGGTTCTGAGGGCTCTTGCTCAGGAATATGCAACAAGGACTTGGTTCCCTAATTTCTGGCAAGGGCTCTTCCAGTGCTGACTCCCTCCTCCTCATTTATACCATCCATGTGTAAACCATTTGCTTCTCAGAACAGAGGCAAGTCAATCATCAGGTCAGTGGGGCAAGCTGGCTCCCCTTCACCTACCATAGCACAAGCCAAGCACCGAGCACCTAGGGATTAAAGACGTTCTTTTCTTTGGTAGAGCAGAGGCTGATAGCTCTCTCTTAGCACAGGAGCAGAGTGATAGTTTGCAGCCAACCCAGGGATGCCAGCTGAGTGAGTAATGGCCCCATGGCCAGAACAGGTGAAAAATAATAAATTGTCAGAAATACAGCAAGGGGGAGGAACTGGGTGCCAGATAGGTCCAGCCTCGACATTTCAGAAGAGGTTTTGCTTCATTTGCCCTTGACCCAAAAGGAAGCCAGCTCCCTCCCAAATCTCTGGCCCAGTCTACACACAAAACATTCTCTGCAGGTCCACTTCAAATGCCTTGGGCCTCTGAATGACCACATACTTTTGAAACACAGTGAATTAATGAAGATGGAGCCCTGTGGCAAAACCTCTCCCCCAGTCACAAGTACCGGACCACAATCCGAGGAAGAAGGCAGAGGATAGGACTCTTGAGACACTGACTCAGAAGTAACCATGAGAAGAACCTTGTTTCTACAAGACAGCAAAGATGTGTCAAGGTGGATAAGAGGGCCAGAGTTCTGCAGACCTTAGATGGGTAATTCTATGGAGAAGGGAGTGCCCAGCACCAGCTCCTGGAAATCTGGTCCTAAGAAGAAGAAACACCAGAGGGCTTAGGCAAAGGTGCCCTCTAGTGTCTCTATCTGGGAGCGCTGTCAGCTACAGGCCTGCCTTCTTCCGTCAGAAGGACCTAGAGAGACCTGGGACCTGGTCTGCTTTTCTTGCTTTTCCTATCATTGGGTGGAATAGGCAGTGAAAGTGCTGTACCTGGGAGATTCCCGCATCTGTGGCCCCAAAGTGTGAAGAGGGGCATTGGTGCCCTCTTCCTGTGAGGGCTCTTTATGTGCTTACCAGCTTCTGGAGCCTACAGCTCCTTTGTGGATGTGTCTGCTATTCAGAAGGAAAACACCTCAATCAGGCAGACCAAGGAGGCAATCTGGCTCCACTCCCCCAACCCCTGACCCCTTGCAACAAATGGCCAAGCGCCAAGCTCAGGTGTGGGTGGGCTATTCTGCTTTGGGATATCCTAAGCTCATAGTTGTTACTGAGCATGGGACTCAGTGGGAAGCCAACGCCCATCCCTGGGTACCTGCTGAGTTAGTGTCAGCTCCATGGCCCCTAAGGTTGAATGAAGAGGCAGTCAGAAACATAGGAATGGCTTCATCCAGGACCAAAGGGCATTCGATATTTCCATTCAATGGGAAAGCGATCAGTGTGGAATGGACATGCTTATCTTCACTTCCCCTAGGCCCAGCAAGGAGGCCAGCTCCCTCTAATACATCTGACCCATCCTCCACACAAACAGTCCTCCCCACAAACAGTCCTTGGCTGGACCCCTTCTGATGCCCAGGGCTCTGGATGTCCATGTAGTCCTAAAACCAAAAGGCCTGGGCTCCTTCGGTGCCACCTGTCCCACAGTCATAAGGGCTGGTACCTGTGGGATATCTGCAAGCTGGAGATAGTACTCTGAAAGACTGAATTTGTATGGACCCCAAGGCGAACCCTGATGGATGATAAAGCAATGTCATGAAACTGGAAACAATGAGAACCAGAGTTCTTCATGTTTGGAAGAACATGACTGGCACAATTATTCAGAAGCTGGCTTGCTCAGGACTCACAAGAGCCTTTTGTGGGCATTCGCTACAGGACTGCTTCAAAGGATGCTCACTGGAGGCCTGTGAACAAAAGGCCCGCCTTCTCCCTTAAGAAACAGAGGGGATCTTTGGCTTCTGGTGTGCTTTGCCCATTGTATCCGTCACAAGGGGCAACAGAGTTTCAGAGTTATGAAGAAGGTGCTTCCATGTGACGATTAAGAGGTGGGAAAGAGGCCTTGGTGCAGTGTGTATTCGAAAGGCTTTGTGTGCACTGATCAGTTCGTGGAGCATGCTGAACATGCAAAGACCATCTGTTTTGATGAATGAGAGTAGCTGCATCCATTAGGGTGGGGGAGTCCATGTGGCTACTGTAGCCGGCCCAGTGCCAAGTCCTCAAGGACAGGGGGCTAGCTGTCCTCTGGGATATCAGACTCTGGGAGCACTGCATTGGCTCAGGAAAGCCGTGGAAACTCACCTCCATACCAGGGACCTTGGTTGTTGTAGGACACAGACACACGGTCTCCGTGTGTGAACTGAGATTGAGTTGGGAAAGCAGAAATGGGAGAGGAATGGCAATGGGGTGAGTCAAAGTTGTGTACTCAGACTGGATGGGGGACACCGAGGAGGGAGACCGACAACTTTACCTCCCCATGTCGCACACAGGAGGTGTGATCAAACCCCAACTTCTGGCTTAGCCTACCTGCAAGCATTCTCCTTGTGTACCTGCACAAACCCTGGTCTGGGGAGGGCCACATGATTCTGAAACCAAATTAGGAAGGGCCCAATGCAACATCTCTAGCAGCATCATAAAAACACCACCAAACACCCAAGCTGAGAGATGAGAGGACTTTGAGACACTATCTCAGAATAGTTTCCATACAAACCGCCTTATATCAAAAGGGCTAAGGGTTGGTAATGGAGACACACACTGCCAGTGTTCTTCATCACACATGAGATTTGAAGAAAGGTGAGAATGAAGTACCCAACGCAGTCTCCTATCAACCAGGTTGTATCCAGAATAAGGAAGCCCTGTGGGCTTAGGCCAAAAGGGCCCTCTGAGAAACTACACCATGGAGCCCTGTCAGCAAGTACTTGCATTCTTTCTTCAGGAGCCAGGGATTTCTGGCTTGGTTATCCCCACCACTTTTCCCATCAGTTGAGGGAGGCCACGGTGCTTGAGCTGTAGCTATTGTGTTCTGAGGGCTCTTGCTCAGGAATCTTCAACAAGGACTTGCTTCCCTCATTCCTGGCAAGGACTCTTCCAATGATCACCGCCTCCTCCTTCATACTGCCCATGTGCAAACTGTCTGCTTCTCAGAATGGAGGAACGTCAGTCATCCAGGTCAGAGAAGCAAGCTGGCTCCCCTTCACCATCCATAGCACAGCAGTCCAAGCACCTAGGGACTCAAGGCCTTCTTTCCTTAGGTAGAGCAGAGCCTGATAGCTCTCACTGAGCACAGGGGCAGAGTAGAGTTTGCAGTACCCAGGGGTGCAAACTGAGTGATTGATGGCTCCATGGCTCCTAAGGGACAAAAAATAATAAGTTGTCAGAAATTCAGCAAGGGGAAGGAAATGGGCACCAGGTAGGCCAAAGCTTGGCAATTCCAGTGGGAATGGGGATCCACTTGGAAAGAAGATGTCTTGCTTCAATTTCCCTTGGCCCAGAAGGAGGCCAGCTCCCAAATGTCTGGCCCAGCCTTCACATCAAACATCCACTGCTGAGTCCCTTAAAATTCCCTGGGCCTCTAAATGGCCACATATTTTGAACCCCAGTGAACTAATGAAGAAGGAGCCTTGTGGCAAAACCTCACCCCAGTCACAAGGACTGAACCAGACTTCCAGGTGGAAGTCAGAGAATAGAACTCTGAGACGCTGACTGTGATGGATTGTGGGAAGAAAATTGTTTCTACAAGAGAATGAAGATGTGCCAAGGTGAATAAGGAGAGCTGGAGTTCTGCAGAACTTCGATGGGGAAGTCTTTGGGGAAGGGAGTGCCCAGGACCTGCTCCTGGCAATCTGGCTCGCAGAAGAAACACCAGAGGGCTTGACAATGGCGCCCTCTAGTGTCTCATCTGGGAGCCCTGTCAGCTACAGGCTTGCCTCCTTCCTTCAGAAGGAGCTAGAGAGCCCTGGGACTTTGCTTTGCTTGCTTTTCCCATCATGAAATGGAGTGGGCAATGACAGCGCTCCAGCTGGGAGCTTTTCCAGCTATGGCTCTAAAGTGTGGAAAGGGGCATTGGTGCCCTCTTCGTGTATAGGGCTTTTGTGTGCTGACCAGCTTCTGGAGCTTACTGCTCCAGTGTGAACTGTCTGCTATTCAGAAAGAAAACACCTCAATCAGGCAGAACAACGAGGTGAGCCTGCTCCTCTCCCCCATTCCCCTTGATTCCAACAGCCAAGCACCAAGGTGAGGAGTAGGAGGCTTATTCTCCTTTGGAATATCAGATACTCATGGCTGGTACCGATCAGGGCACCCAGTTGGAACCCGACACCCATCACTGGATGCCTACTGAGTGAGTGCCAGCTCTATGGCTCCTAAGGGTGCATGAAGAGGCAGTCAGGAACAGGGGAATGGCCTCAGCCAGGACCAAAGGGTGTTCAATATTTCCACCCTATGGGAATGCAACCAGTGTGGAATGGAGAAGTTTATCTTTATTTCCCCTAGGCCCAGCAAGGAAGCCAGCTCCCAGGTAATACATCTGGCCCAGCCTCCCCAAATATAGCTCTCAGCTGGACTCCTTCTGAAGCCCTAGGGCTCTGGATGCCCATGCAGTTCTGAAACCAAAGAGGCTGGTCTCCTTTGTCTCCACCTTTCTCACTCTCATAAGAGCTTTCCCCTTTGGGCATCTGCAGACTGGAGATAGTACTCACAAAGACTAAATTTGTATGGACAAGATGAACTGTAATGGATGATACAGCAATGTCATGAAACTGGATGCAACGAGGGCCAGAGTTCTTCATGTTTAGAAGACTTAGACTAGCACAATATATTCACAAGCTGGCTTGCTCAGGAATCACAGGGACCTTTTGTGGGCTTTCACTACAGGAGTGCTCCAAAGGATGCTCGTTGGAGCCCTATGAGGAAGAGGCCCACATTCTTGCTTAAGAAATAGACAGGAACTTTGTCTTCTGGTGTGCTTCTACACATCGTATCCATGGAGAGGGGCAGCAGAGATTCTGAGGTATGAAGAAGTTGTTTCCATGTGATGATCAAGAGGTGGGAATGAGAGCTTGGTGAAGTATATATTCAAAAGGCTTTTTGTTTGTTGATCATGTCATGGAGCATGCTGGCCATGCACAGATGGTCTGTTCTTCCAAATGAGGGTAGCTCCATCCATTAGGGGCAGGGTCCATGTGACTACCCATTCCCATGATAGTGTTGCCTGCCAAGCACCAAGGGTTCAGGGACAGGGGGGCTTGGTGTTCTCTGGGATATCAGACCCTGCGAGCCCCTCATTGCCTCAGGAAGGGCTTGGAAACTCACCTGCACTGCAGGGACCTTGGTTGGTGTAGGGGACAGACACAGGGTCTCTGTATGTGAACTGAGACCAAGTTAGAAAAGCAGCAATTGGAGAGGAATGACAATAAGGAGAGCCAAAGCTGTGCATTCAAATTGGCATGGGGGAACAAAGGAAAGACACTACGACCTTGCCTTCCCCTTGTCCCACACAGGAGGCGAGATCCACCCACAACCTCTGTCTTAGCCTACCCACAAGGCATTCTCCCTGGGCACCTGCACACATCCTGGGTTTAGAGAGGGCCACATCATTCTAAAACCATATTGAGAATTGCCCAATGCATCACCTCTATCACCATCACTAAAACACTACCAAATCCCCAAGCTGAAAGAAGAGGATATTACTCTGAGACAGTGTCTCAGAATAGTTTCCATGCAAACTGTCTTTCATCAATAGCGCTCAGAGGTGGCAATGGAGACACACATTGCCAGCATTCTTCATCACACATGACTTGGAGAAACTAGAGAATGAAGTATCCAGCACAGTCTCCTATCAACCAGGTTGTATCCAGAATGAGAAAGGCCTGTGGGCTTAGGATAAGGGAGGACTCTGAAGGATTACACCTGGGACCCTTGTCAGCAAGAAGCCAGCCTACTTTCTCAAGGAACCAGGGATTTCTGACATGGTCTATCCATGCCATTTTCCCCGTCAGTTGAGGGAGGCAGCAGTGTTTGAGCTGTAGCTATGGGGTTCTGAGGGCTCTTGCTCAGGAATCTGCAACAAGATTTGGTTCCCTAATTCCCAGCAAGGGCTCTTCCAGTGCTCACTCCCTCCTCGTTATAGTGCCCATGTGTGAACTGTGTCCTTCTCAGAATAAAGGCAACTCAGTCATCCAGGTCAGTGAGGCAAGCTGGCTCCCCTTCACCCTCCATAGCACAGTAGGCCAAGCACCAAGCCCCCAGGGACTCAAGGCATTCTTTCCTTTGGTAGATCAGAGCCTGAATGCTCTCATTGAGCACAAGAGCAGAGTGGGACATTGCAGCCCACCCAGTTGTGGGACATTACAGCCCACCCAGTTGTGACAGCTGAGTAAGTGATGGCTCCATGGCGCCTAAGGGAGAAAAAAAAAATACATTGTCAGACACACAACAAGGGAAAGGAAATGGATACCAGGTGGGCCAAAGCTCGTCTTTGATGGTGGGAATGGGGATCCACTTGGAAACATGGCTTTATTCCTTTGCTTCTGCCCAGAAGGAGGCCTGGTCTCTACCCAAATCTCTGGCCTAGCCTAAACACCAGACATCCTCCACTGGTCCCCTTCAAATCCATGAGCTCTGAATGGCTGCATGCTTCTGAAACCCAGTGAATTAATGAAGAAGTAGCCCTATGGCAATATCTCTCCCACAGTCACAAGGACTGGATCAGACTCCCACGTGGAAAACAGAGGATAGATTCTTGAAACACTGATTCTGAATGGATTATGGGAAGAGCCTTGTTTCCACAAGACAGCAAACATGTGTCAAGGTGGATAAGGAGGGCCAGAGATCTTCAGAGCTTGGAAGGGGAACTCTATGGAGAAGGGAGTGCCCAGTACCAGCTTCTGTTAACCTGGCTGACTGTGAGAAGAAGAGACAACAAAGGGCTTAGGCAAAAGTGCCCTCTAGAGTCTCCTTCTGGGAGCTCTGTCAGCAACAGGACTGCTTTCTGTCTTCTTAAGGACATATACTACCCTGGGACTTGGTTTGCTCTTGTTGCTTTTCCCATCATTGAATGGAGGGAACAGTGACACTGTTGTAGCTTGGAGGTTCCCAGAGCTATGCCTCCAGTGTGTGGGGAGGGGCATTGGTGCCTCTTCAGAACAAAGCTTTTTCTGTGCTGACCAGCTTCTGGAGCCTACTGCTCCTGAGTGAAATGTCTGCTTTCCAGAAGGAAGGCATCTCAATCAGGCAGATCAAGGAGGTGAGCTGGCTCCCCTCCCCCCTGCCCCTGGCTACAAACAGCCAAGCACCAAACTCTGGGATAGGAGGGCTATTCTCCTTTGCGATATCTGATGCTTATGGCTGGTAGTGAGTATGGGACTGAGTGGGAAGCCGACGCCTGTCCCTGAGTGCTTTCTTAGTAAATTCCAGCTACAAGTCTCCTAAGAGTGAATGAAGACGCAGTCAGAAAGACAGAAACAAAGGGACAGGATATGACTGCAGCCAGAACGAAAAGGCATTCAATATTTCCATCAAATGTGAATGCAATCATGTGGAATGGAGATGTTTATCTTCATTTCCCCTAGGACCACCAAAGAAGCCAGCTTCCTGCCAATATGTCTGGCCCAGTCTCCACACAAGCAGCTATCAACCTGACCCCTTCCAAAGCCCTTATGCTCTGGATGTCTATGTAGTCCTGAAACCAAAGGGCCAGGGACACTTTGGCTCCACCAGTCCCAAAGTCACAAGGGCTGGACCAATTGGACATCTGCAGCTGGATATAGTAGTCTGAAAGACTGAGTTTTTATGGACCGGAAGACAAAACTTAATGGATGAGAAAGCAACATCATGAAAGTGGATGCACTGAGGGCCAGAGTTTTTCACGTTCAGAAGAGCCTGACCAGCACAATGAATTCATAATATGTCTTGGTTAGGAATCACAAGAACATTTGGATGTCCTTTGGAGCCCTGTGAGCAAGAAGCCCACATTCTCCCTTAAGAAATAGAGTGGGGTGGCACCTGGGTGGCTCAGTCGGTTGGGTGACCAACTTAGGCTCAGGTCATGATCTCACAGTTTGTGGGTTGGAGCCCCACATCAGGCTCTGCGCTGAATGTTTGCTCTGAGCCTGGAGCCTCCTTTGGATTCTGTGTCTCCTTCCTTCTCTGCCCCTCCCCCACTTGTGCTCTGTCTCTCTCAAAAATAAAGAAACGTACAAAAATTTTTTTAAAGGAAATAGAGGGGAAATTTGGCTTTTGGTGTCCATCATATTAGTAGAGAGGGGCAACACTGGCTGTGATATGTGAAGAATGTGCTTCTTTTTTTTTTTTTTTTTTAATTTTTTTTTTCAACGTTTATTTATTTTTGGGACAGAGAGAGACAGAGCATGAACGGGGGAGGGGCAGAGAGAGAGGGAGACACAGAATCGGAAACAGGCTCCAGGCTCTGAGCCATCAGCCCAGAGCCTGACGCGGGGCTCGAACTCCCGGACCGCGAGATCGTGACCTGGCTGAAGTCGGACGCTTAACCGACTGCGCCACCCAGGCGCCCCGAAGAATGTGCTTCTATGTGATAATCAGATTGTGGGAATTAGGCCTCAGTATCTATTCAAAAGCATTGGAAAAGTTATTTTTAGCAACATGGCAGAGAAGCAGGGGGATCCATATGTCACAGGTCTCTCAAACAAAGAAGTGTAGAAGCCAAAGGACTTTGAACTCCAGAGCCTGGGAGGAAAAGAGACTGAATCTACTAGGAAGAAAATTGGAAATCTGGAAAAAAGATAGGTGGGTAACTGCGAACTGGGGGAGATAAAAAAAAAAAAGCCCACGTGGGCAAGGAGGGGAGGGACCCCCTTCTGCGGAGAGACAAAGGGAAGAGAAAGAGCAGCTAGGGAAGTGCAGGACCTTAGCTGAACATGAGAAAGACCTTGGACTGAGCCTGAAAGGGATCTCTAACTGTGGGGCTTTCTTCGGACAGGGGCCGGCTCCCTGTTCGTGCACCTGGGGTGAAGGGGAGCCAGCCCTGGGTGCGGTGGTAAGCCAGAGGCCTAGTCTGCAGCTGGAGAAAGTGGCTCCCTCCCTGGAGGGCTGCATGACAGCACAGAACCTGCCTGCATCCGCCACCCCAGATTGCAGTGGCCCGGCCGAGGTCTCAGTCTGCAGGAGGATAAAGCGGCTGTTTCTCTGGAGGGCTGTGGGAAAGGACAAAGCCTGCCTGCGTCCACGACCCCGGGGGCTTGCGGTGAGGGAAGTGGCTCTCAGTCTGCAATAGGAGAAGTCAGTCCTCCCTGAAGTGTAGCGGCACAGACAAAGCCAGCTGGGACCACATATCGCCGCACTGAGAGGCACTTCCCCAGCACCAGAGCCCATGGAGTGAGACTTTGAATCCTAGCCAAGCGCAGGGTCAGGGGAGTTGGTGGAGCGAGAAGTACCACCCCGTCTGCACCCACGGTACAGTGAGGATGACTCAAATGGAGTCCACTGGCTCCAGCTCCATGGAGAAGAGACTGGAAGATCACCATTCCCCCCTCCCACCACCACCAAGGCGGGGCCTCAGGGATCACTCCCAGGCCCCATAGTGGAGGTGGGTTTAGAATACACCAAACCACACCCCCTTGCACTGGGTAACTGCACATCCACCTGAGCAGCACAGACCCTGCAAACAGCTGTTCCCGACAAGCTATGCAGCATTGCCTGGATTAACACTAAACCAATTCTGGATACATAGATATATTCTCCCCCCACCCCATTTCTCCTCCTTATCTCTTCCCTCCCCTAGGCAGGGTACTCTGGTTATTGGTCTGTCTAAACAGGCATATTTAATCCATTGTCTTTATACATGTTCTACACCTCCTTCTTTACACTCCTTTCTCTCTCTCTGGGATAATCAAGCCATATAGTTTCTCTGTCTGAGTAATTTTATCTTCGTTTCATTTTCCCCACCTCCTTCTTTATTTTCCTTTCTATTTCTCTGGATTAAGCCTTTTAATCTCTCTGCCTAATCAACATTTATCCCCCCCCCAACCCCCCAGCCCCTCTCCTGTTATTTCTCTCTTTGTATATGCTCTTACATCAGCACTGCCTCCACCCTCTTCTTTACTTGTAGTTGGTGTTTTGGGGATTTTTGTTTTTAATCTTTAGGTTTTTGTTTCTGTTTATTTGTGTTATTTGTTTGTGTGGTTTTGTCTCCTGTTTGTCTACCTGTTTTCCTTTACAGGGCTACTCCAAGGAACAAGTCAAAGCACACCTTGTGGAGGGTACAAAATATTACTACGAGTAGGGTAATAAAATAACCAAATTCACAACATCAGAGAGCAAGTAACAATGCCTGAAAAAACACTTCCTGAAGGACCAGGCTCTGGACAGTGTATGACCCTCCTTTAATATAGCAATGCTCACAGGTGCAGAGCACACAAGCTTTTAAAATGCATAAGGGACAGAAAACTAGGCAAAATGATGAAATGGATTAATTCTCCTCAAAAGAAACTCCAGGAAGTAGCGACAGCTAACAAATTGACCAAAAACAATTTAAGCAATATAACGGAACAAGAATTTAGATTAATAGTCATAAATCACTGGGCTTGAAAAAAAGCATAGAGGACACCAGAGAATCTATTGCTACAGAGATCAAGGGACTAAAAAATAGTCATGATGAACTAAAAAATGCTATAAAAGAGGTGCAAAATAAAATGGAGAAGGCCATAGCATGAATTGAAGAGGCAGAGGAGAGAATAGGTGAATTGGAAGATAAAATTATAGAAAAAGAGGAAGCTGGGAAAAAGAGAGATAAAAAAAATCCAGGTATATGAGGGGAGACTTAGAGAACTAAGTGATGCAATCAAATGGAACAATAACCATATCATAGGAATTCCAGAAGAAGAACAGAGAGAAAGGGGCTGAAGGTGTACTTGAACAAATTATAGCTGAGAATTTCCCTGATCTGGGGGAGGAAACAGACATTGATCCAAGAGGCACAGAGAACTCCTTCAGACATAACTTGAATCGATCTTCTGCATGACATAACATAGTGAAACTGGCAAAATACAAGGATAAAGAGAGAATTCTGAAAACAGCTAGGGATAAACATGCTCTAATTTACAGAGGTAGACCCGTAAGAGTAGTCACGGACCTATCTACTGAAAGTTGGCAGGCCAGAAAGAATGGCAGGAAATCTTTAATGTGATGAACAGAAAAAATATGCAGCCAAGAATCCTTTATCCAGCAAGCCTGTCATTCAGAATGGAAGGAGAGATGCAGGTTTTCCCAAACAAACAAAAACTGAAGGGATTCATCACCACTAAACCAGCCCTACAAGAGATCCTAAGAGGTATTGTGTGAGTGAAATGTTGCAAGGACCACGAAGTAACAGAGACACCACTACAAGCATAAAACCTACAGCCATCACAATGACTCTAAACCCATATCTTTCGATAATAACACTGAATGTAAATGGACTAAATGCTCCAACCTAAAGACATAGGGTATCAGAATGGATAAAAAAACAAGACCCATCTATTTGCTGTCTACAAGAGACTCATTTTAGACCTGAGGACACCTTCAGATTGAAGTGAGGGGTTGGAGAACTATCTATCATGCTACTGGAAGTCACAAGAAAGCTGGAGTAACCATACTTATATCAAACAAACTAGACTTGAAATTAAAAGCTGTAATATGAGATGAAGGGCATTATGTAATAATTACAGAGTCTATCCATCAGGAAGAGCTAACAATTATCAATGTCTATGTGCTGAATACAGGAGCCCCCAAATATATAAAACAATCACAAACATAAGCAACCTTATTGATAAGAATGTGGTAATTGCAGGGGACTATAATACTCCACTTACAACAATGGATAGATAATCTAGACACAGGACCAATAAAGAAACAAGGGCCCTGAATGATACATTGGATCAGATTGGCTTGACAGATATATTTAGAACTCTGCATCCTAAACCAACAGAATATACTTTCTTCTCAAGTGCACATGGAACATTCTCCAAGATATATCACATACTGGGTCACAAAACAGCCCTTCATAAGTATAAAAGAATTGAGATCATACCATGCACACTTTCAGACCACAATGCTATGAAGCTTGAAATCAACCACAGGAAAGTCTGGAAAACCTCCAAAAGCATGGAGGTTAAAGAACACCCTACTAAAGAATGAATGGGTCAACCAGGCAATTAGAGAAGAAATTAAAAAATATATGGAAACAAATGAAAATGAAAATACAACAATCCAAATGCTTTGGGATGCAGTGAAGGCAGTCTTGAGAGGAAAATACATTGCAATCCAGGCCTATCTCCAGAAACAAGAAAAATTCCAAATACAAAATCTAACAGCACACCTAAAGGAAACAGAAGCACAACAGCAAAGACACCCCAAACCCAGCAGAATAAGATAAATAATAAAGATCAGAGCAGAAATAAACAATCTAGAATCTAAAAAAAAAACAGTAGAGCAGATCAATGAAAGAGCTGGTTTTTTGAAAAAATAAACAAAACTGATAAACCTCTAGCCAGGTTTCTCAAAAAGAAAAGAGAGAGGACCCAAATTGATAAAATCATGAATGAAAATGGAATTATTACAACCAATCCCTCAGAAATATAAGCACTTATCAGGGAATACTATGAAAAATTATATGCCAACAAACTGGACAACCTGGAAGAAATGGACAAATCCTAAGCACCCACACACTTCCAAAACTCAATCAGGAGGAAATAGAAATTTGAACAGACCCATAACCAGTGAAGAAATTGAATAAGTTATCAAAAATCTCCCAACAAATAAGAGTCCAGGACCAGATGGATTCCTGGGGAATTCTACCAGACATTTAAAGCAGAGATAATACCTATCCTTCTCAAGCTGTTCCAAAAAATAGAAAGGGAAGGAAAACTTCCAGACTCATTCTATGAAGCCAGCATTACTTTGATTCCTAAACCAGACAGAGACCCAGCAAAAAAGGCGAACTACAGGCCAATATCC